CACTGTTTGGAGTTCGGATGCGAGTAATTAAAAGCCCGAGTGATATAATGATGCGTATCCGAACGACAAACAGTGATGTTATCAAGCGATAAAATCACCGATTTGGATATATTATTTCGATTCTAACACGACATCAACAAATGAATGCTGCCGTACCTGATATTAAGCAAAATTGCGTCTGATTTGCTTCCGTACTTATTTTAAGCGCGTCGGATTCTTTTAGTGGTTATGTCAAATGTATAATGATTATGTCACATATCTAAATATAGAACGTCAATTGTGACTCTGTTGCATAATAACACACACTTTCGGTTCTTCTATATTCAATAGTGAAAAATGCGGGTCGTGTTAGAATTCTTAATCAACGTATGCCTACCTTTATTTTACAAGCAACATTGCAGTTTTACTTATCGTTGTAAATTTAATTTTGTGGTATATTGCTGTTTCAAAAAATCTTGGCTCGTTACTCGGCGATTGTCTGTTGCACTCAATAACACGGGGGAGGAAGTGTTACACGAAGGATGGAGTTCTTATGATAACTTGTTCAGGAGTTTTTGTGATAACTGTCACGGAGTTCGTCAGAAAACATCTGTATATACTACAAAAACACTCGTTAAAAATGGTTATTTTCATCTTTCAAAAATGAGTTTTAGATGCTAAATTAAACTTTAATGATTAAGCTTGTCTTACATCTTGTATTATGTGTCAAAAACTAATTCACATGCCAATTTTAATCGCCTCTTGCTTCAAATCTGGTAGTTTTCAGTGAAATTTCCAAATTATTTGCCAATTCACAAGTTTTGACCTGTTTATTACTGGTCTTCATCCTTGCCATACATAATTACCTAATTATAATGCAAAATTGCAAACATAAAGCACCGGCTCACAGATATATACCCGATTTTTCAAATGTTCCGGAGTTCTTGTGATAACACTGAAGATGTCACAGAGTTCTTATGATAACTTTTGTTATTGCCAATGTGTTTCTTGCGCTAAATCACGGCACGTTTTAGCGTTTTTTATTATTCAATAAGATTATAAATCATTATGAAATGTAGTACGCTCATCCTTTGCGCAAAAAATAGGATATATAATGTTGGTTTTGAGTGAATTTTAGTTCAAGAGATATTATTTCTTACCCCCGTTTCTTTTTCATAGTATTTTTGTTTGTTTGACGCAGATTTTGTAGACTGGAAAAAGGATTTATATACTGGTTTCCTAGCAGTTTCCAGCTCCTAGCAGTATTCTGGCCCTTAATCATTTTCATCCAGGCATACAAACTGTTTTTTCTCAGTTAAGCATCTATGTTACTGCATCAGTCAGAGAAACAATTGTTTTCTATGTAACACAGCAGTTATAATAGTACAGCGATTAATATGTTTCAAAGTTTTGTCTCTTGTTTTTAGTTACATTAGAGAACTTGCGACACTTACAAGCACACCTGGAGAATTCTAGTTTGAATGCCCATGCACAATAACTGAAATCCCATTCTAGGTAAATCACTACTTTTAAACAATATATTTGCAGACGACACGGAAAAGTTTGGGAAGTTATCTACATGTGTATTTGAAAACCCAGCTTAACATTGCTTATTAATTGGTACTGAATTATATTCAAAATAAAAAAGGTTCGAAAAACTGCTATGAAATTTTGAATAAATGTGAGCAAAGTTGTTACATCTCAGGCCTTTATTCCATCAAAATGTAAAATAAAAGAGCAACATTAACCCATGATAATGCTGGACAGGTACCTAACTTTGTTCTGTCAAAGTTTGCATTCTTTGGTAGACAGATTTTTACTTTCACTTAAAGTGCGATTTGGTGCCGGGAACTGCTATGAAACCAGTAGGGCATTTATGTACGTGATAAAATGCGCTTTGATATACTCAAATATGGTATTTCCATATCTATTTCTCTGTCGATGTTTGATGAGTATTTCCCCTATGTAATCTTAGTGGAGGAAACTCTGCTACTTTTGCTGTAATTGATAACAAAAATACATAGTCAAACTTAGTTTGCTTGAACCTGGAGGGACAGTTCAAATTTGTTCGAGAGATCGGTAGTTTATCATGTATCGTACTTTTTTAAGACATAGGTGTGGAAATTATCCTGGTTATATACTTATCTATTATGGTATAAAATGATACAAATTACTTAGCCCTTAGGTAAGGGAAGCATGCCTATATATTGTCTGCTTAAGAAAGGTGGTTGCTTAAAACATGTGAAACTAAGAACAACGTGTACGTTTTGAGACATTTTTGTGGTTTAAGCCATTATACTGCTGAATACCAGTGACCGCTGGTTCAATTTTTACTGTAGCTATTTATCCTTTGCAGACACTTAAAACCAACTTTTTATCCACATTTTTGTGCAAAGGATGATCGTACTGCATTTCATAATGATTTACAATCTTATTGAATAAAAATAAACACCAAAACGTGATGTGTTTTAGCGCAAGAAACACACTGACAATAACAAAAGTTATCATAAGAAATCTGTGACATCTTCAGAGTTATCACAAGAACTCCGGGACATTTGAAAAATCGGCTATAAATCTGTTAGCCGGTGCTTTATGTTTGCAATTTTGCATTATAATTAGGTAATTATGTATGGCAAGGATGAAGACCAGAAATAAACAGGTCAAAACTTGTGAATTGGCAAGTTATTTCGAAATTTTACTGAAAACTACCAGATTTGAAGTAATTAAGAGGCGATTAAAAATGGCCTGTGAATTAGGCTTTGACACATAATACAAGATGTAAGACAAGCTTAATCATTAAAGTTTAATTTAGCACCTAAAACTCATTTTTGAACGATGAAAATAACCATTTTTAACGAGTGTTTTTGTAGTATATACAGATGTTTTCCGACGAACTCCGTGACAGTTATCACAAGAACTCCTGAACAAGTTATCATAAGAACTCCATCCTTCGTGTAACACTTCCTCCCCCGTGAATAAGGAAGTTCAGAAAGACTGTTGACGCTAATAATGTGTTCATTACCGCTTATCCCAGCGCCGATCACAAGAAATACGATGAACCTCAAACTTAGATTTTATCAATGTCTAAAGAACAACATAAGATTGCAGTTTCTACAGAATGTCATACAACACATACACAGTGCCAAAGCGCCAACAATCTGTCTGAACATTTATAAACAACATCAACCTAATCCTAATGGAATCTCACCAAAATTTCTAGCTATACTTAAATGTAATAGAAGCTACACGGGATGAAATGAACGAGAAGTTTAGATGCCACAAACCATCGCCTACGGATACACGAAAATTGTCCAATAGTAAATAAATAAACTCCAATATTTTGAAAAAAGGTTACATTTAAACGACAAAGCTGCCAGGCTGTAATCAACAGTCAGGACAGGCATACAATATTAGAATAATCTTCAATGATACATTTATTTTGCGTATCGCAATGTCACATTTATTCGGCATGCTTATCAAATTTGTGTTTCTTATGAAATTTTTTAAATGGAATATCATAAAATGTCTCTCAACTGTATTTATTGAAAACTTCAGCATGATCTTACCAAAATTGACTCACATATGACACCATTTATACACGCACACTAATAAAATTTGTAAAGTGTATTGTGTTTGTCAGTCTTGTATGAAATAACGTCAGCGTTAATGAATGAGTTGTATACTTAGGATGACGCCATTACGCTGCTTACGGATTGGCGCCGTTTTGTCAAAATATTTATTAACTGATATGGATCAAATTTGTGGTGTTAGTGTATGTGAGATATTATTCTGGTATTGTTTGAAAAGAAAACATTATAAGAACTGAATATATAAATAAAAATGCTTTTTAATTTTGCTTAAAAAAGTTTTGTGAACTATATAATCGAGGGTGAAAACATAACAGTCGCATATACAAGTAGTCCATAACCAGTGTTTATTGGCAGTTTAACACCGGTTTTTTTCTTCTTTGTCTATAGTGACAAAATCACGTGGAGTGTTAGACTATTTTTAAAAAGAAAAGTACGATTGTTTTTGTGTGTTACATTAAGTCCATATTGCGGTGTTTAAAGCTGCATGCCTCCAGATGAATCAAAATATTCAAGAAAATCAAACTTGAGAAACAGTACTTTGAATTATAAGAACAATAAAAAGATTCAAGACTAAAGTAATAGTTTCCATGTAACGGCGATTTGTGACCGATTTTTGTAGTATTTTTCACTATACATGTTTTTCTACTTCGTTACTAACGCAGTAATGGCTATTTTTGCATATTTTGACCTTTATTTTTGCTGATTTACATGGATTGTAAGTGCCGTATCCAACGTGAAACTTATTTTCATTGTTCACTCGACAATATTTTACTTTTTAAAACATTTTCAAAATTTCAATAAAATTTGCATGAATCTGGAGGCGTGCTGCTTTAACACTTATTTTCTCAATACCTTTAATCATTTTTGTTTTAAGCTATTATCAAGAAAATCAAATCGACTTCTTTTATAGTATTAAAAAAAACAGTTGATCAGAATTCAGTTCGAACCTCCAACTCACTTAATATATTCTAAACTTTTGAGTATTTTCAAAATTCCTGTATGTCAATTAACAAAAATCCAATTCTCATTTTTAAAGGCATTTTTCTCTCTTTTTTAAAATTGACTTTATTGTAGGAAATAACGTTTCTAAATTGCGCAGTTGAAATGCTCAAACACTTCATGATCATATGTAATGATATATGTAATAAATGCATTTTCGTTACAGAGACCAATATATCTTACATTTTACATTTTATTATACAAATAACATTTTGAAAAAAAAACTGAATTAAAGCAGCTCGACCATCGTTCCTTTTTTTTTCTTTTGAGATATTATATGATTATGTAAAGCCAACTCTTTAGATTTGTTATGGGATATTGTCTCACGAGAAAACAAGACAAATGTAGAAACTTCAATGTGTAATGCGCGATGAATATCAGTTAAGAATATAATATTTTATTTAATATTGCACCATATTTCTACATTAATAGGTACAAAAGAATGGACTTCAAGATATTAGTACTGCTTCTAGCGTCTACCACAAGATGTTTCTGTGTGTTAATATGCAATCCTACCAGCAACGCTACAGAAAGACATCGCCTTTACACAGAACTTTTCGTAAATCAGGGCTACAACTCTAAGATTCCTCCATTCAACCATATAAATCACTCTTTTGGTATGTTTTTTGTTGTTTTTTGTTTTTGTTAAATAATTTAATTCATAAGTCTGTAGTCTATAAAATAGAGGATATTGAATGAGTGTAGTTTAATACTAAATTTATTGAACGAGTTGAATAAAATAATATTATGCGAGCCTCTGGCAAGTTAAATAAATTTAGTATTGAATCTACACGAATATAATATTCTATTTATCACATAATATAAAATAAGAACAATAAACTGTAAAAATGAGTAATTTTTCAACGACGTGCCTATAGTGTAACGCTAACATAAGCGCGCTTTAACGCTATGTTTCTATATAGCGCAAATGACGTCACGTCAAAGTGATATTACACTAGTGTAATATCGTTTTTATTTGTTTGGGTCGTCAGACCAAACAAATAATGGTAGCGAAATTTCAGAGCCTAATGCTGTAAATTGCAATTGCCTAAAGTAGTCCACTTTTTTGAAGCGGTTACTTCTCTTTATATGTACACTAACGCCGAAAAAAATCAGGGGAGATCAATACGTAAAGTTTGTCAAATGACAGGCGCATTAATTTTCAAGCAAAGTAGTTCCCGAATGGTCGAATATTTCTAATATTGTTTCATTCTTTATAGATATACATGCTTACAGTAAGCTTCATGATTATTTACATCTGTGTTAATCAAAAGGTTTAGCGTCGAAATAATAAGATATTTTATAAACCCTAATTTAGAATAATATGGTTTTCTTCAGGCTGTTATCATATAAGTTCACCGTGGTTGAGGGGTTCGCACGCTCGCTTATGAATCGAGAGGTCTGAAGTTCGAATCCCAGTTGAGGCAACTTATTTTTTTTTTTTTTTTTTGTTTAAGTCAAATAAAAATTGAATTGACTATCAGTGTTGCAATTAGTCTTATAGCCATTCTACTACAATTAAAACGCTGGAAAGCATTGGTGGCACTATACAAAAACAAATTGTTTTATAATCTCACAACCTTCACCTTTCTGACATTCTGAGACCCAAACAAATTCAGCGCCTCCTGTGCTTTGATTATTAAATGGTTTTGGTTTATACAGAATTTATTTTAGTTCGATTGTGTAGGAAGCTATAAGCTTATAGACACACTTTCGAATCCGTTCCTGGAACCAACCAGTACTGAGCAATGAGTGTAAAGTTTCTTGCTCAAGGAAACAACGACTTGCCCCTGACGGGGTTTGAACCCGGTTTCATTACACTCCTGTGCCGCGGTTTATGTGATAAACCACTACAAAACTCCGGTTCTATGGAAAACTGTGCAGCCTTGTAAACGTGTATAATGTATATGAGAGCATGTGTATACGGATTGAATATACACAATACGTATTAGTTGTTTTTTGTTGTAACGTAGACTACTAAACATGTAGTAGCATTATTTTAAGCGATTAGCGTCGAGAAAGAGTTACTCTCCTTTACGGATGTGGCATAAATGGGGGATAACCGCTTCGAATGTTAGCTTGCATAAATACTGATCGTTCAGTTATGAAAATAACATGACAATTTTGACGAATGCATGCGTAACATCCATATAATGACAAGAAAAGTAAATGTTTCAGATTAATTCTTGCTTTGGGGGAAGAAAACAGAAAATCAGCGAAATGGTCATTGCTAGTTTCTTGAGTGATTCTCTGTCATTTAGAAAAAAATCTAGCGTTTATGTGACAAACATAAAAATAAGATTGTTAATGCCTTCTTGATTTTTTATTCAAGCAGTAGAAAGTAGACGAATGCATTTCGAAGGGTCTGTGATAAAGATTTATTGATTCTTTTTCATTATGCCATATAAAAAACTTACAAAGAACCAGATATAATATATTAACGTTCCTTAATCATTTGGCAACTGATTATTGCAACAGATTATTGTTATTACAATAATATTCTTATAATTATATAATAATTGCGAAATTGCAGTCTTTGGATGGCGTGCATGGGGTGCATGTTTTACTTAATCCACACCACTTTTAAATTTCTTACACCACCGTGTGACAGATGAAAAGTTCATTACTCCCATAAACACGACAAATTTCATTAAATGTGTCTTTCACATGTATACCAAGAATACAGCGATTCTTGATAGAACCGTTTTTGTCAGTGGAAGGAGACCTTTTCCTTAGTATACACAAGTAGATATATAGCGTTAATTGAGCTACTGTTAAAGAATAACAATGTATTGTATCATTTGAGAGCTTACACACAATCATCTATGCGATTCATGTACATAATTCGTGCAAAACGTGGTTAAAAGCGAGATATTAGTCTAGTTGCATCCTTTTTGCAATGAATTATTTTGGGGCATTTGATGGTAAGGTATTTGTTTCAATAAATCACCTTTTTATGTTTCAGATGTAAACATTTCTTTCTTTCTTGAAACGATAATTGACTTAGACGAGATAACAGGAGTATTGAAGACAGCATCCTACATGATTATAGCATGGTACGATGAATACTTGCAATGGGATAAAACTGAATATAACACTACTACGGCATATTGGCCTCAGGTAACATTCCATTCCGGATGACGTTTTCAAGGGGCAGGACGTGAAGTGGTTGCACACTTGGTTCAAGCGAGCGAATTAGTTGCAAACTTGACAAAATGGCGAACCCGGTGTGATTTTTTGAAACAGGTGAACAAATTTTTGCCAGGCAAGTGGGTTTCTTTGTTATTTTAAAGTTCATTAGTATGTCTATTCCATATTGCAATATACATGTATATGCCACACTCGGTTAAAGGTTTCAGCATCCTAAAGTCTGTTTTGACGAAGTTATTGAAGATATAAACTGATCATGTAGATATTTTGAAATTTGACATGTGACTGTTCTGGTCGGTTTTTCTCCTAATTTATTCGACTTTGTAAGTTTTGAACTGCACTTAACAATAACAAAATATGTTTCTGTCAATGCTGTACAAGTGGTTTAGTTCGCAAGTCCGAAGATAACGTTCAATACACAAAAATATCTTGTTCAAGCACATTTTAGTTGCAGACTTATACTTCAAGCATTTTTGGTTGCAAACTTTTGTGTCAATAATGTGGCATGCATATTTTTAGCGAGGAATAACTTATAGCAATATTGAGGCAATTATGCCCGTTCATCTTATGAGAATTATATATAGAAATTGTGCATGCGTGCAGATATATCCTTACACAGGGTCTTTCAAATAGATACATAACACAATATGCTAAATCGAAGTTCAGTTGTGTTTATCCTCATCATTTTTCTCCTCGATATACTTCTTTTCTTTTTACAAAGTCTTAGGACTTTTTTATATCTTGGCATGACTTACTGTAAAGGAAAAGAAAAAAAAGCAACAAACAGCTTTCATTATTGTTCGTTTTTTAGATTTGAAATAAATTTGATAGTAGATAAAAACTATATTAACATTGACACAAGGGAATTATTCACATGTTCCTTATCATTGACCAATCGAAACATCTTCCAAATTCCCTAACAGTTTTGTCACGTATCAGTCAATGTAAATAACCAATCGTATATCAGTTATATTATGATCTAATAATCAAAATCGTCTCTAGAATACCAATTGACATATGATGTACATCAAATCCGAAATATTGTAAACAAGCATGTCATTTTAACTTTTGGCTTCTAAAAATATTTTAAGTACATTTACATACTTTATGTCTAAAGCAACTGCTGATCTTTACATACGAAACAAACAAATTAACATTTCTTGTGGTTATGATAAACTTTGGAAATTTTGCCGAGTAACATCGTATGTGTGCACATGTCCTTATGTTTATGATGAAAATAATTCACTTACAACAGTACTCTCACATACGTTTGTTTTGTATGTAGTTTTCATTTGCATTTTACATATGATGACATATTTCAGGATTGAAGTATCAATAAATATTTTTCTACATGCTATTATTTTGTTTGCAGGCTTTAACTGATGATTGTATTATTGAACGGAGAACCATGTAATTTGAAACATAAAGTGCATAATTGTTGTAAAAGAAGAAAGTATAAATAACATTTATAACAAAAACAAGTAACAGAACATAAATGTCAATAATTGCCATTGAAAATGGTTAAAGATCCTGTAACACATTTTTATGGTTTTACATAAAAAATATGAAGCTCAAATTAAGATTTATTTATATTGTAAGTTTCAAAAAGATAATACCGAATTTAATATTTCATGAAAATAAAGGGAAGTAATTAGAAATTTGTTTTCTATAAATTCTAAGTCAAATTTTCCAATAAGAAATGAATGCATATAATTTAATTATAACGTTTAATATGTACAAATATTTGCAGTGCATATTTTACATATTTTTCACTGTTTGAAAATTGTTGTATTAGCATACATATATATAGTTTCACGCAAGTGTGGTAGCCTGTACAACCACAATTACAAAACATACAGGATCTTCAATAAATATATCCTTCTACACCCCTTTTGCAAAGTTTTACTATGGATTTCAATGGAATAAGAATAAGTTTGCAACCTAAAATGCTTGAAGTATAAGTCTGCAACTAAAATGTGCTTGAACAAGATATTTTTGTGTATTGAACGTTATCTTTGGACTTGTGAACTAACCCACTTGTACAGCATTGACAGAAACATATTTTGTTATAACTTAATGCAGTTCAAAACTTACAAATTCGAATAAATTAGGAGAAAAACAGACCAGAACAGTCATATGTCAAATTTCAAAATATCTACATGATCAGTTTATATCTTCAATAACTTCGTCAAAACAATTCTAGGATGCTGAAACCTTTAACCGAGTGTGGCATATATTTGCATTATGGAATAGACATACTAATGAACTTTAAAAATAACAAAGAAACCCACTTGCCTGGCAAAAATTCGTTCACCCGTTTCAAAAAATCACGCCGTGTTCGCCATTTTGTCAAGTTTGCAACCAATTCGCTCGCTTAAACCAAGTGTGCAACCACTTCACGTCCTGCCCCTTGGTTTGTCATTCTCTACTTGTGTGGTGTATGACTGTATGTATACGTTTATTGCTCAGATATTGATACAACTACATGCATAATACTGTTTATTATATACTTTTAAATGAAATATTGAGTTACTTTAATTTTCCTATTTTCACTGTAAAGATTTATTTTTTACTGCAGTGAAACATTTTCCCATATTTTCACTGGTGTCTTGCCGGACTACTTTCTTCTAAATTTAGTCAATACACAAAATTAAAAGGGAATTCTCCATATTCGTAAGGTTAAAAAGAGAAAAAGTATATAATAAACAAAGATTGTTCTATTAATACAGGATTTATTTTCATCTTGTGAGATGAAAATTATCATATTTCACTCGTATTTATTTTGCATATCACTTGATGAAAATAAATCCTGTATTTATTGAAGAAACTTGAATATCCTCTATATTCTAAACCCATTATTTCATGAGTATCTTGTAAAAAATGGCTGTTTTCATTGAAAAGCCTCCAGTTACAAATTCAAATTGTTATGAAACTATAATAAAGGTTTCTTGACACAAATGTTGACTTGACCTTAGCCTTGTAACGGCATACTCAGTTTTTAATTCCCATGGCAACGAGGGTACATCTTAAAATTGCCAAAAATCACTATTTTAAGTTGATTTTTCTATCGAGTGCTGCAACCTCTCAATCGATTGAGATAGGGTCAAAGGCTTTTCAGTGTTGGTTACACGTTACCTTAAGGTCGGACTGAGGCCAGTTTTACCCTCTCACAAGTCCAAAATTTTTAATCTCCTTCCGCATAGCGGAAAGGGGATGATAAGAATGGCCTCCGTTCATGTCCTTCTGTCCGTCCGTCTGTCCGTCCGTAACACTTTCGTGTCCGCTCCATAACTTTTAAACAACTGAAAATTCTTTGAAATAAATTGGCACAAGTAATAGCCATAATAAGACGATGCGCAGAGCGCAATAATTGGGTTGCTACCCCCAAGGTCAAGGTCACACTTAGAGGTCAAATGTTAAAAGCTCTTCATTTCATAATAAAAGTCTACATTTCGTGTCCGTTCCATTACTTTAAAACCACTGATTGTTTTAAATAACTAGGTACAAGTTATAACCATAATGAGACGATGTGCAGAGCGCAGTAATTGGGTTGCTACCCCCAAGGTCAAGGTCACACTTAGAGGTCAAATGTTAAAAGCTCTTCATTTCATAATAAAAGTCTACATTTCGTGTCCGCTCCATTACTTTAAAATTACTGATTGTTTTAAATAACTAGGTACAAGTTATCACCATAATGAGACGATGTGCAGAACGCAATAATTGGGTTGCTTCCCCCAAAGTCAAGGTCAAACTTAGAGGTCAAATGATAAAAAAACACCTTAATTTAATAATTTAAAGCCTACATTTCGTGTCTGCTCCATAACTTCTAAACTGCTGACTTTTTTTAACTTGCCACAAGTGATGACATTAATGGGACGATGTGCAGATCGCAATAATGGGGTGGCCACTGCTTTCCGTCCGTCCGTCGTCCTTTCGTAATATTTTACTTAAAACGACATCTCCTCATAAACCACTCAGCCAATTTCATCCAAACTTCACAGGAATGTTTCTTTGGTAGTCAACTGTAAAAATTGTTCAAAGAATTTAATTCCAAGCAGAACTCTGGTTGCCATGGCAACCGAAAGAAAAAACTTAAAATATCTTCTTTAAGAAAACCGTAAGAGCTAGAGCTTAAATATTTGGCATGAAACATCATCTAGTCAGTGTCTACTAAGTTTGTTCAAATAAAAGCCCCGGGGTAAAAAAATGGTCATTGTTTTTCCCTTTATGTATAAAGTAAAAACTTAAAAATCTTCTTTTAAAAACCCCAAGGAGCTAGAGCTAAGATATTTAGCATGAAACATCTTCTAATGGGTATCTACCAAGTTTGTTCCAATAAGGGGCCCTGGGTTAAAATTGGCCCCGCCCCAGGTGTCATTGATTTTCCTTATATGTGCGTAGTAAAAACTTAAAAAATCTTCTTTTAAAAAAAACCAAAAAGCTAGAGTTTAGATACTAAGTATTAAATATCTTCTAATGAGTGTCTACCAAGTTTGTTCAAATAAAAGCCCTGGGGTCAAAAGTGGCCCAGCCCCAGGTGAGCGGTTTCAGGGCCATCATAGCCCACTTGTTAAGATAACTTAACAATATATATGATCACCATTATGACACCATTGGCGGAGCACAATAATCAAGTCACAACCCTGAAGGTCAAGGTCACACTTAAAGGTCCAATGTAAAAATATCTATTATTCATGTCCTCTCTAAATCTTATTGACAATTCAAAGATTTTAAAATTACTTGACATAAATGATCATCACCATGACACAATCTGCAGAGTTCAACATCCAGGTTGCTACCTCCAAGGTCAAGGTTATATGTTCTCCATAACTTTTTTTACTTCATGGAAAATTTCAAATAACATGACACAAATAATCACCATCATGAAAGTATGTGCTTATGATATGCATGGCATAACATCATGGTCGTGGCTGGTAAAAAGTTCACTGCGGAAGGGGATTTAGATGTCCTTCAGACTGCCTTGTCTTTGAGGTTGAATTTGCCGTAGCTGTCAGCCTTAAATAATAAATGCCGCTGAAGAAGGCCAAATGCAACGGCAAATTCAAATTAGCTTGTTTAACCATATGCATGCACATGTATATATGATATGTACGTGTATATATGTATACAGAAATAGGAAATACTATCGTAACCATATTTTTGCAGAACGATATTTGGAAGCCAGATATAGCTCTACATAATTCAGTTGGATCATATAAAAGTCTTGGACATGAAAATGTTATGGTTAAAAATATTTATGGCGGTCATATATTGTGGGTCCTTCATGAGGTACGTATATTTAATTACTGCCCAAGAATACCTTAGTTTTCAAATCACCTGATATAAACTACATTGTACAATGTATTATGTATACACATGCATTGTACTTAACCATGTACTACTGCGACATTACTCCAAATAAGTTTATAAAATCTTTAAAAAATCAAACTTAAGAAGTCCATGTCTATTGTTTAAGAAACATATAAATACATATATTTTCATATTCCAGGTGAAAACTCTCATGTAAAATATGAAAGAATGTACTGTTTTTACAACCTAAGTTTTGTAATGATACAAGCGTAGTAAATTTTTGCATTGTAAGTGCAATCAGATTTAACTGACAACATGTATATCAATATTTCAGATGTTTGAAACGTCGTGTGATATAGACATGACTTATTACCCATATGATGTACAAACTTGTGAAATACGATTTGCGACTTTGAGCATCCTTGAAGTAAGCAGCTTTGACTGATGAAACAATTGCTGGCAAATAAACGTATCCCAGACTGACCATACAATACTACCTTCACTACTTTTTATCCAAATATTTCTTGTAACCACCAACATTTATAATTAGCTGGTGCATAACCAATTGCAACCTTTCGGCCCTTTCAAACTTCAAAAAAGAAACTCGGGCACAATAGTAAGAAAACACAGAACGGAAAGGGTATTTCGGTACAAAATGTCCATTTTTTCACATTAATTCGGATTTGGTTAAAATTGAATATCAGTGAGCATTTTTAAATTGATTATTATTGCAAGATTTTTTTTTTCAGACATAATTTTACCGAAATGTACTTTATTTTCCTTTGAATGTCAAATATGTGCAATAATACACTAAAAATGATTACACATCTAACACCACGTGGTAGAAGTACTTTCTCCGAGGTTGTTATCAATAATAGCCGAGATGTTCTGATTGGGTACATAACGCATATGACGTCACAGCAATAGTTTATGCACGACCGTGCAATGTCGCCTTTATAAAGTCGCAGGTATGCGATTTGAACAAATTATTGAACATTGATGGCCCTACTGAAATACTTGCCCTGGAATAATCCTTTGTTGTTGTCTTTGTTGATGTTACGTTTTATGTCGCACCAACATATAGAAGGTCATATTAAGACTTTCCAGTTATTTCAGGTACTTCAGCAGTCCCTCTCGAGATTTGAGAACTTATGTTTTTTTTTTTTTCTAATAAAACTTATCAACTTCGAAGTATCGGAAGGAATTTTATTGTCTTTGTAGAAAATATAAATAAATATTATTTCTTATTTCGGATCATAATAAAAGAAACATGCTTACAGTAAATCTATCACTTCGTTTCATGTTATTCAATAACGAAAAATGAAAAATATAAAAGAACTGTGTCATGGTAAAGTTACGCCGGGCCGGGGAGAGCCTGCTAGTCGCAGGGTAACAATTTATACTTCTCAGGATTATACCTAGCTGGTAGATCACTATAGGTTCACTTCTATTCAATAGTCAGGAAGTCAGTAGAGTAACTTCGGGTGATTTCGTCACTTTAAGAGAATTTTGCTCACAAAAGTTTAGGTGTCGATATTACAAGATCCGATTTTAACCCGAATGTGAAACTAAACTTTTTGGAATACTTTTTGATTATGTAAACGAACAAGAATGTCTTGTTTGATTTGCAATATCTCTCTAACGAACATAGATATCGTCGTGTAATTTCGACATGTTTCGTCTTATTTCGACATACTCCAATTTGTTTTTTTTAAATGAAAGGAGAACATGAAACATTTATTTGTTTTTCTGTGCAATTAGATAAAAAATTATAAAACATATTCAATCATTAAATATAATTGCAATTTTTTGTTATAGGACACTAAAATGACATTCAACTAATGAAAGAATTTGAGGACATAATGTTCAAACATAATAAATGAAAAAAAATCATTTTCGAAGTAACAATTACGTTTCTTTTAAGTTTTGAATAGGTTCATAATTATATTCTTTCCAGTACAGTACATGTACGAATATATTTAATTGATAAGAGCTTTACCTGTACATTGCTTTTGCAATGTTTTGAAGTAAATATATTGCGCTATTAAGTACATACTGATATGCACAATCATTGACCATCAATTATCAAACCGGACACAAAACTCGCAAAGAAAGGTGTATTTTTATCACTTACTCAAGAGGCAACTTAAATATAATCGGTTCGCCTGTACTTGAAAAATGCCATCTATTTGGACATAAAGTACACTTAATCCATTTGTCATTGTCACCATTCTCATCATTACAGGACACTGGCGGCGTTGACCAAAGTCGTCGTCAGTGTCAGCATAGGTGGGAATTTCAGAATTTAATTCTGACGATGTCAGTAGACTTGCAATACAGGACTAGCAGACGACTCGGTGATTATGAAGGTAATTTTTGTCCAAAGACAATAGGGGACTATCAGACGACGTTGGGCAAGCAGAAGATTTAATGTTCATGGCAATAGTCAGTAGTCTTTGTCAGTAGACGAGACAGGATAAGGAAACGGTATAGGACGAGCAGATGACTCAGTGTTTATGACAATGTACGAAAAAATACAGGGTTAGCAGACTGCCAAGGGCTGACTAGACTGCACGTCACATTTTATTCAAAAAAAAATATTTGAATTAGCAAATAGATATCAATTCTGAAAAATTTCTATTGCAAACTCTTAGACGAAAACAAATTTAACCACCAAATATAAAGTCCAACTGTAAAAAAAATTATAATAATAATGTTTGATTGATATGTTAGAATGGAAAAAGATATCAATTCTGAGTGCATTGTTGTAAATTAATGCACGGTTTGATTTCAAATGCGTAGTAATATAATCACGAAGGCCGAGAGACCTGAGTGAATAATAACAAAGCATTTGAACGAAAAAAAACATGATTATTAAAGACGTATTTTTTTCGTTTGAGTGAAATATGGAATATATTTTCACGAAACACGATAAAAGGCACATATTTTCACGTGTCGGGATGGCGAGTGAAAATATGTGGCATTTTGTCACGTTGAGTGAAAATATATACCATATATCACGAAAAACAAAAAAATAACCTTTTTATTTAATTTCATTATAAAAAAATGTTTACGAATCACCCTTGCTTGCTACGCAAGTTACGCAACTGCAATTGTACAGCGCGCAGTAGTTGAGCCGTGTCATGACAAAACCAACATAGTGCGTTTGCGACCAGCATTCGCGCAGTCTGATCAAGATCCATGCTGTTCGATCGCTATCAGTTTCTCTACGGAAATTCCGATCCGAACCGCAAACATATGTTAGATATTTTTTTCTTGCATATTCTGCCATATTATTTCATATTTAAAATGGTTTACCTCAATATGATATATGATCATGGAAATTTAAGTCATTTCCTCCCTAACTATTTTCTTACAATAGCGTATGATCTTACAACTTAAATAACAACAGTGAAATGACGTCATCATAAGCACATATTTCCCTTATAAAACGACGTCATTTTAACGCGGTTCATTCATAAAGTGCGCTAAAATGACGTTGTTGTTTGGCACGCGACTCGTCTGGCACCCCCATGCCAGATGAAATTTCCGGCATGGTTAAAACTCACGGAAACGCCAGTCCGATATGCAAGAATGATGCGTCTTGTTTTGCTTGTATTTGCACGTGATGTTTGGCGCTGCATTTTGACGTCACGTAAACAACTCTTTAAACGTCTGTACAGCGTTAATGACTGAATTAAAGATAATGGTGTTTTGATTTATTTTCTTAGTTAGACCATTTTCTATCATTCTAAATAGTTTTCAAAACAAAATTCAACAAAAAGTTGTTTTTTATTTATCAGATTTTTTAAACAAAATGGCGAAAGAAGTCCCCTAAAATAAATATGAGTTTTGAAAAAATATGATATATATTTGACTGATATAGCACCATATTTCATGGGTAAAATTAAATAAAGCACCATATTTTATGGGTAAATTAAATAAATTATATTATATTCTAACACTTCAAGAAAAAATATGATTATTATTATAAAGTTGAACTTTATGTTTGGTGGTTAAATTTGTTTTAGCCTCAGTTTCCAATAGAAACGTTCTTTAAAGGCTGTTCCAGTGGGCTGGAAAAAAACTGGCGTTAAATCTACCGTGTGTAGGAAAATTTTGAGAGTAACGAATTTTGAAAACGTTGATAAAACTTTGTTTGTTTATTTAATTTCACTTCATATTTTTCAAGCGAAATACAAAGTATTTATACTGAAATAAATGTGATATTTAACAAGTTAACGACTGAATTAAAGATATTGGTGTTCGGATTCATTTTTTTAGTTAGACCATTTTCTTTCATTCTAGATAGTTTTCACAACATAATTCGACATAAAATTGTTATTTATTTATCAGATTTTTCAAACAAAATGGCGCCCTCAATGTGTCGGTTTGAAAATACGTTGTAAAAAAAAAAAAAATACGTTGTAGAATAATGCACGCTTCGGGCCTTCATGGTTTATATAGAAGAATTTCCGATAGTGTTAGAATACAAATTAGAGCATGATGGCATTATTTATAACAACATTAAATATTTTACATGAATTCTATCAAAAGCTGTTATTTTGATGGGATATATTCTAGTTGTATCATAGTTTGGGGACCTTTCTGTTGAAAAAGTGTCATAGTTAAATCGTATACATATACATGCACAGTGCGGTAACTGGAGTGCAGGTATCAGTTACCCGCACTCCAGATAATGCCCGTGGATTGGTTCATTTTTGCCGGGGTTTACATATTGTTTACATATAAAAATATGGTGAGTATTGGATCTATAATCTAAAATTCGCCGATTTGATATCCGATGTAGGATTTTTGGTCGTTAACTTGCAAGAAACAATAAGTAAAATGTTTACTAGTAAGTTTTCCAGGAAGACGAGTAAGGTGGACCGACCGCCGTGATGTGTATAAAATGCGTTAAAGTCGGTGTAAAAAAAATTGAAGCTAATGTGTTGCTCAAATACCATTGAATGATATTATGCACTATTGTGTTCTGTATTTTTTTTGTCTTATTACAGATTAAACTAACCGCAGATCGAGATCATGAGACGACCAATATATCGATACCAAACCCTTTTTTGGGAAACTTAAAACAAGTGTAAAAAAAAAGAAGACCGTTTTTTTTTTACATTGGCCGGAAAACCCCCCGCATGCATGTGACTTTTTCTTCCCAGTTCTTTTTGTAACCTTTTAGGACTATTCGGTTTCAAATACCTAATGGCGGTGATGATCGGATACGGGGTTACAGTGCCCCCTTTGTTTTTCTCCGTCTATTGACTATTGTAGATTCTTTTATTCCTAAAAATTCCAGAAAAACCCCCTGTTTTGTTTAAAATTCTATGATTCAAACTGCCCAGAACAATCATCACAATTTATCTGTTTTTTAACGAAAGCAAAATTTTAATGGACAAGGACCTGAGTACCACTTTTTTCTGGGGGTTTCTCAGAATTACAAAGTTGCGTAAGAAAATACCAAACCAAAAAGGGTTATACAACTGAAAGCATCGAGACACAAGCAACTTCGGATAACGAGACCGATAACAATAAGGAAACAACAAACTTTACTTGGGAAATGGTTGTTGACGCCGTTGATAAAATAGCATCAATATTCTTCACTTTCACTTTTATTGTAATTACCGTAGGTTTCTTTTGTGCAATCTTTCTTTAACACAAATGACTGCTTCGTTTTATGAAGCCTACAAAATGTACAATTCGTACAATGATATTTACATTTGAATATGAAGTAAGTTTTATCTTAAACTAGATTATTCGTTGTTCCATGAATCACTTGTTAATCTATATGTTTTAACGAGAGAGAACTAAAACTGTGTTCTTAATAATGAAACGAAATAGGGACTACATCCGATTTTCTATCCAAATTGACGAATTAATTTAAAAAAATTGAGTGCTTCATCGTGGATTTGGAAATTTAGAATGCTTTTAGGGGTACTAATACCAAGTGGATAAGCTTTCACGAATACAAGTTTACGTCACCGTTGAACACATACTTTTTTTCAATTCTACCACTTATGCATGGACATTTTTAATATACATATATAACAAAACATGCCTTTATAAGTGTAAGAATGTATTTTACATTTAGCACGATACCTTACCTATATACACTATCCCTGTTATAATCCATAGTTTTCCACTTGATTGATTTACTAAACCATGTATTTGCACTGAAAAATATTTATTTATGTATACTACGCATTTTGATAAAACAGGACGAACGGCTTACTATCTCTCGTG